CCTAAAAAAACCAGAAAACCGAAGATTACCACTTATGTTGATGGGAGCCTTAAAAAACCACTAAGACGAGGCTATTTTTGGTTAAGAAGCATTTTATTCAGCGATGCGCTGATGAAACAGGAATTTTGACAAACTAACCAATCACATTGGAAAAATTAACATAAATCCAGATGAATTATCCTCAAATTTTTATGCTATAAAAATGGAATGTGTGGATCAGCTTTAGTTTATAGTATTTGGATATGCAGCTGGTAACATTTTTAGCTATTCCAAAATAAGTCTACTGATATTGCGTTGCACAGCAAAAACGTAAAAAAATACATACTAAGGAGAGATTGTCCGTGTGTGTGTGTGTGTGTGTATGTATGTATGTGTGTATGTATGTATGTATGTGTGTATGCATGTATGTATGTGTGTATGCGTGTATGTATGTACGTATGTATGTATGTATGTGTGTAAGTATGTGTGTATGTATGTATGTGTGTATGTATGTATGTATGTATTTTCGTATTTTGGCAGCAGTAGCCTGCTGTGACGCTCCCGACAATTACTTTGATTCCTCAAATTTGGGTTATTAAACCGCAACATCAAACACCTCATTTTTTGGATTTTGCCAATTTTATTTGCCAGCAAATATCAAAAAAAGTGAATTAGCGCTAAAACTGCTCAATTTTTAGGTTTACGATCACCGATTAACGAAATTTTCTGACCTTTTCAGAGCCTGAATTTAATGGTACAAACAAGAAGTTGCTAGCATCCCCCTAGATTCGCACGTACGGAATTTTGGAATTATGCCAATTCAAAAAGTTGAGAAAGCTTCGGTAGCATTTCGTTAAACTTCAGCTTTCCAGCTTTTCTGGTTCCCAAGTTAGCAATTTTCTCACCAAACAATTCATAGAGCCTTGTGAAACTAGGACCATATACAGAGGAAAACAGAAAAACTAAGCTTATTTTAAATGTTTCTATAGAAATATACGTCGATTACGTCCTTTCCCGCTTCTTGGCCTCATTCTGTTCATCATTTCCAATACTGTTATGATTATTAGTAAAATTTCTCACATCGATGTCTTTGAGATTGTGAATTCTGCGATCGAATACAGTGAACAATTCTTGCAACACCGATTTCAGGGCAAAATGACCGGGTGGAGCACTGAAATCGATGCCCGTCATAGCGACAACCTTCAGTGATCCCCATGGTAATTCTGCGGCAATACATCTGCAAAAAAGAGGAAAAATTGAACAAAATCAGAATAAATTGTATTTTTTGGAATTAAAAAATAGTCGATTTTTTTAAATTAAAAAAAACAACAATTTGAACTAAATTATATTTTTTTATTTCCAAAAAAAACAAAAAAAATGAAAAAAAAATCGAACAAAGTTAAACTACACCACACCCAGTTAGCTTCTCCCATCGATATTCAACAGGTTTTCTCAGAGAAAAAGAAAGCTTCAGTTCAATTAAATAAAAAATTACAATAGGAAAGAATGGAAAAAAAAGAGGAAAAAAGGTAAAAAAAAAATTAGAAAATTTGCGGAATTATTTATACTAGTAAGAAAAATTTTGGGCCATTAATTCGTATACATTCCTTACCATTACCACGTTCGAGAAAACTTACGAATCCGTGCCGCTGCCGGGAGTTCGACTGCTGCTCGGATCACTGCGACGGCGTGTCAATGCTTTCTTCGAGAACGTAGCATCGCCATCTTTCGCCATATTTTTTTTTTTCTTGCCTAAAACACTGAACAAATCATGGTGTGAGCAACGAGAAACACATTCATTTATTATTGCAACGATCGCTGAAAGGACGCACCGATAGCAAACAAGTACCGTGCGGGGTATCGCGACCCTAATTGTTATTTTATTTAGACTAGTGAGTACCCCGTGGGTAGGTGCGTGTGTGTATATGTGCATATAACACGCCGCGTTCTATATACACGTTTATCCATACACAGTAAAGTGAAAAGGTAAGATACAAAAAGTAGGTGAAGCTCCCCAGAACAGGAGCAGTATTATGTAGAATAAGCAGACTAGAACAGGAAGTCGAAAGTGGCGATCCCGGCGATGGGGAAAAGTGCTTTTATACCCCAGAGAACAAAGATTGAAGGTTCAGTGAAGGTAGGGCGGTTAAATTTTGAACCAGGGACAGGGGTACTGCGTCATAGTAACGCAGTTGGTCTTTAATCTATTTTTAACAAAAACCATTAATCACTATTTGATATATTACGCTATTACGCGATAGAGGAAGTTGCAAAGAACTCTGAACAGAGAGAGTTTTTCAAGAGGGTGTGAAACCGCTGAGGCGGAAGCGGATAGCGTTGACAAAACTTATCAGTATTCTACGAAATAAGGGATCAATCTAAATATCATATGCAAAAGAAGCCATTGCCAGGAAGAGGCAGTCTGTGTTTCATCCCTTAGCTGTAAACTGAGACTGAATGAAGCATGCGGTTAGGAATGAGAATCATCTACAAAATTCAAATTTTCTACAATAAATGATGGTAAAATTTGGCTAAACAAGCGCTATTTCAGCTAATACAACGCGCTTCCTTAAAAGCGGAAAGTAGGTGCGGTACTTCGGACAGATACATAACGAGTTTCAGCCTCGAACAAAACACATAGCTCAATGATGGCTTTTTGAGGTGTATCTTTTCAGTACGAAATAGAAGAATAGAAGAATTTCATTTGAATGTCATGTGTTTGAAGACATTTTATGACGCAGTCTGTGTGCCTCACCCCTTAGCTGTATACACAGACCGAACAGTGCATGCGGTTAGAATTGGGAATCATCAGTACAGCCTC